AGGGTCTAGAGACTGAGTTCCTGTGTCTGGCTCCACCCTCAGCGCAGAGTCTGCTTGAGAGTCTCTCTCCCTCTCCCTCCTCCCCTCACCCTGCTCATGTGCTCTGTCTCTCAAATAAATAAAATCTTAAAAAAAAAAAAAAAAGACTATCCTCACTTTATTTTCCTCTCCGATTCTTGAACCCACTATGATCGTGCTTTCATCTCCACAGAAATTGTTTGTAGCAAGGCCACCACTGATCTCCATATTGCCAAATCCAATCTTCAATTCTCAGTCCTCATCTTATCTGACCTATTGGCAGAATTTGACACAGCTAATTAATTTTCTCCTCCCTGACACATTTTTCATCCTTTTGCCTCCTACAGACACCACTCACTCTTGGTTTTCCTCCTGCCCCACTGGTCCTCCTTCAGTACCTCCTTTGCAAATGCTCATCTTCACCCTGATCTCTAAATAAAATTAGCTTAGGGGCACCTGGGTGGCCCAGTCGTTAAGCATCTGCCTATCCCAGCGTCCTGGGATCGAGCCCTGCATTGGGCTCCCTGCTCAGCGGGAAGCCTGCTTCTCCTACTCCCCCTGCTTGTGTTCCCTCTCTTGCTGTGTCTCTCTTTGTCAAATAAATAAATAAAATCTTTTAAAAAAATTTGTTTTTAAATAAATAAATAAAATTAGCTTGCCGAAGAGCTTAAGTCTTTAAACCTCTTCTCTTCTCTATATTTTCCTCACTAGGCAACCAAAGCCTGTTTAGACTTTAAATGTGATATATATATATCAACACAGCCTGGCCCTTCTTCTCTGTACTCCAGACTCATACATCTAGCTGCCCATTTGAAATCTCCACTTACAGATACCTAATAGGCATCTCAACATTTAACATGGTCAAAATACAATCCTAGATTCTACATAAACACCTTAAAGTCTGCTTCCCACCTCTACCCGTCTGTCCCTTATTAGTATAAAACCAATTCCGTCTTTCCAGTTTCACAGGCCAAAACTCAAGAGTCATTCCTGACTCTTCTACTTTACTAGTCCTACCTTTGAAATATATCCCGAGTACACTGCTTCTCCTCACCTCTGCCACTAGCCCCCAATCAAAGCCACTACGTCATCTCTTTCTTGTACTATTATAGTAAGCCTCCTAAACTAGATTCCCGGTTTCCACCAAACAGACCATCCATACAATAGCAAGAACAATTCTTTTCAAACCTAAGTCAAGTCATGTCACCTTTCTACTCAAAATTTCTCATGACTTGCCATATCACTTGGAATAAAAACCAAAGTTGCTGGAATAGTCTACAAAGCCTGCTCATGACCTAGGCTCTCGCTGCCTACCTCATCCACTACTCTTCCCCTTGTACACGTCACTTCAGCTACACTGTCCTCCTTGCTTTTCCTCAAATACACTAAGCATATCCTGCTGCAGAGCCTTTGTACTTGCTGTTCCTCAACCTGAAAACCCTTTCCCCGGATATCTGCATAACCTCTCTCTTGCATTATTTAGGCTCAAATGTTACCTTATCAGGGGGACCTTTTCCTACTAATCCTACATAAACTAGCACCTCCCTACCCATCCTGTCACTCTCAGTCCTCTTATCAGCTTTATTATTCTTAGCATCCATTACCACCTGATAAAGAATACACAGGAATACCTCGTTTTATTGTGCTTTGCTGTATTGTACTTCACAGATAGCATTGGTTTTTTTGTTTGTTTTTGTTTTTTTATAAATTGTGTAGGTTTGGGCGCCTGGGTGGCTCAGTTGTTAAAGCGTCTGCCTTCAGCTCAGGTCATGATCCCAGGGTCCTGGGATCGAGCCCCACATCGGGCTCCCTGCTCGGCGGGAAGCCTGCTTCTCCCTCTCCCACTCCCCCTGCTTGTGTTCCCTCTCTCACTGTGTCTCTTTCTGTCAAATAAATAAATAAAATCTTTAAAAACAAAAAACTGTGAAGGTTTGTGGCAACCTTGAATCAAACAAGTTCATTGGTGCCATTTTTCCAACAACATTTGCTCACTTCATGTCTCTATGTCACATTTTGGTAATTCTTGCAATATTCCAAACTTTATTATTATTATATTTGTTATGGCTATCTGTGATCAGTGATTATAACTCACTGAATGGTTAGCATTTTTTAGCAATAAGTATTTTCTAATTAAGGTATGTACACTGTTTTCTTAGACATAATGCTATTGTACACTTAATAGAATACATTACAGTATAAACATAACTTTTACATACTGGGAAACAAATTCATTTGACTCATTTTATTGCAATATTCATTTAATTGCAGTGGTCTGGAACCAAATCCACAATATCTTTGATGTATGCCTGTAACTATTTGTTTACAGTCTGTTTTCCCAAGTACTAAAACGTAAGCACCATGAAAGTAGCGAGTGTAGTTTATTCAAAATGCAGCACTAGTGGGTAGTCCAAGATGGCAGCAGAGGAAGATCCTAAACTCACATCCCATGGACACACCAAATCTACTGCTACATATCGAACAATTCCCTCTGGAAAAGAATGAAAACTAGCTGAATAGCTCCTTTGCAACAAATGGTAAAAGGGCCACATCAAGATGGGAAGGAGAGGCAGGATGCAGTCCCACCCCTGGCACAGGGGACCCACAATCAGGAGGAATCTCACGAATCCCAAGTTCCTCCCTGAAGAGTGAAGGGTTCATGCCCATCAGGTACCCCAATCCTTGGGAACTGTAACAGAGAGATGCACCCCCAAAACATCCGGCTTGGAACACCAACAGGGTTCACATCCAGGAGACCCAAAGGGCTGTAGGAAACTGAGATACTTCTCTTAAAGGGCTCACATGCAGACTCAGTCGCCTTGGAAACCAGCACAAAAGCAGCAATTTGAAAAGTGCCGAGACTACATGTGAAGGAGTTTCACTGGCTAACCTTAAAACATCTATCAGAGAGGCAGGGCCTGTTGGGACTTTCCAGGGACGGGGGCACTGGCAGGGACTTTATGGTGCTCTCCCTCTGCCCTGATAGCACCAACAGGGCAGCCCAGCCTACGGCCGTGTGAAAGCTATGTCTGCACCAGCCATGAGCTCTCCTGTGGCCCTGCTAACGCTGGCAGGCACATGCAGTCTACACAGGGGACACTCCTTGATCACCTGCTCTGGTGGCCAGGGGGACCTGCATTCCTGGGTCCAAAAGGGCTGTAACAATTGGAGAGAGACAGTTCTTGGCAGGCTACTGCCTCCAGGGCACCACACAGACAGCAGTTTGAAACACATCCCTAGTCTTTCTGTGAAACAGACCTATTTACTTGTCCCAGAGCTTCAGCCTGAGGGCCACACTTCACATTTGCCACACATCTGGAGGCCGTGGAGATTCTTTCAGGCAAAGTAGGCCAGGGGACACCATCTTTACACTCTCCCTAAGCCTCACTACATTTCGCCAGTACCTCCCAGAAAGGAGCTTGTACACTCATCTAAAGCCCTGATTTTTGCCAGTCGCCCAGAGGACACCTTTAGATCACCTGGTCTGAAGACCAACTGGGTTTACAACTACCGTCCCACAGGACTACATATTTTAAAACCTGCTGCCTGAGGGTCTGGCTTCCAATCAGCCTATAACTAGGGGCTGCCTGAGATCCACCCCCTTTAGAACACTGACAAGTCTTGGCACACTCTCAACAACTAGGACTTATCAAGAATAAATCAGGATGCTTAGACAATCACAAAGGTTTCAGAGACAACCAAGAGCTAGGGCAACGTTGAAAGATAAGGTTCATCTCCTCCAGGAGGCCACTCTTTGAAGACTCATACATAGAAACAAACAGAGAATCAAGCAAACTGAGAAAACAGGAATATGTCCCAAACAAAAGAACAGATAAAATCTCCCCCAAAAAACCTTAATGAACAAAAAGCAGCACTAAGAAGAACACCTGGCATTTAGCCAGGTACATATTTGCTGAATGACTAAATAAATAATAGCTTAAGTTATTATGCTAAAAGTTTATAAAGATTAACTCATTTAATCATCAAAAAACTATGTGGAGGTACTATTAATATTCCAATTTTACCAATGAGACAAAGGCATAAGAGATTAAGTAACTTGTATGTCACATACCTTATAAGTGGTACAGTCAACCTCCTATCTATTAAATGAGATCAAGTTAGATCATACAAATGGACCACTTAACAAAATGTTTGGCACATTAAATACCTAGCACTTATGGAATACTTATTATGTGCCAGACATTAATGTAGGCTCTTTGTGTATATTTACTTATTTAATTCTCATATTCTTCAATAAGTAGATGCCATTATTTCACTATTTTTTATTTATCGGGGCACCAAACCTAACTCAACAGAAGTTACATAAAAGAGACTGCTGTGAAAAAAATGGGACAAACTCCAACCTTTACTCTTCTCGGAAAACAGTTAACATGTGCTTAAAAAAATGTGTTTTGAAAGTTAGCACTGGAAACCAAATCAAAACGAACTGAATTCCTATCACATACAGACACACTCTTAACTGTATTTGTTAGCTTGTAGTTCTAGAAAGCCTTCTAAGATTCAAAGACAAAACAATCACAGATTTTCTTCATTAAAAAGAAAAAAAAAAAGCTACCCATTCCCCAACTGGTTAGCTACTCCCTATCACATGGTATTGTTTAACACATCTTTTTCATTATAAGGAAAAAGCGAATTAAAGTAGATCTTTTTCATATTTAAAACAGAACTTACTCATTTACATCAACCTGAAATCATCAAGTTTATGCACTGCAAATCAGCCTCTGCTTTAAAAGTCAGTTTTATTACCAAAAAATAAATTTTAAAAATTACTGCACCTGAGAAAAAAGCCAATCCTTTAACCTTGAGTTAAAGTGAAAGCCAAAGGAATCATGAAAATGACTAAATATAATTTCTTCAGCTCAACATAGCATTTATTTTTTAATTTTTTAGCTCCATCTGTAGATACTATTCTATATTAATAATTAATATATGAAACATTCTGGGTAAAGACCCTTAAAACTTACGGTGCAATAATGGCTCTAGCAGGTCTTTTTGTAGACTGTACTTGTGAGAGCCAACCTTCTAGCTGTGCATTCAGCTGCGGTCCTATAAAAAGAGAAAGAGGGAAATTGGAGTTAGCAGAGAAATGTACTACATACAACCATACAAAGTCCTTATTGAACCTATCTGGGACTAAAATAGCTTAATGGGCAGTGGGATCATTAGTTTGGACGTTAATGTTTGAAACTTAACCAACTACTAAGCAAGCCATAGAAAAGGCCAAATACTGATTATACAAAATTTGCTTTTATCCATTTACTTATTTACAACCATCTTCATTCAGGAACAACAATACGATTCTATAATTTGAGGCACTGTTTAAACAAAATAAAACAAGAACAAAAGACTCTTGGCATACGAAAAGAAAATACCTGAATGATTGTATACAGAGCACCAAAACTTGCCTTAATCACTAAAATCACATCCATGGAGTGATCACTCCCAAACCCAAAACCTTTTCTTCTATCCACTCCAGCCCCTACTCTGGTGATCACATTGATAACCAGTGACTATGCCATGTCAAAAATCTCAATTTCAAGCATCCCACTCTCCTCACTGCCTGTCTTTCCAGTTCACTTCTAGAAATCTGCTGATTGCCAACAGACTTGGAGTTACTTTTCCCACCATCCTCCCTCTCCTTTCTTCTTCCCCTCTTAGCCAGCCTGAGACTTGATGCTCCATCACTACCATCATTTCCTTACCTATGCCCTCATTCTTGCTCCTCTCTTCCTCCATCACAGTCAAATCATAGTTAAGACCAACTTTCCACTTAACACAGTACCTTCACTTGTACAGATGAATGAGAAGACAAACACAACCACATGAACTTTAAAATTATACCCATAAATTGCAGACCCTTAGCAAAGCTCAGAAATCATACCACATTAACCTAGTGAATTTGCTCTCCCAGCCTTAAGATAATTACTTCATATAGCTTCTCATTTTACCTTAAAGCCTCATCCCCCTCTCACTCCCAGCAGATGATCATGCTTTTTCATTTTACATTATACTTTTACTAATGTATATAATAAATAAAATATGCATTGTTCTGCATAGGTATTATTCTGCATGTTTTTAAATATTATATAAATATACTGTGCATGTTCTTCCATAATTTGATTTAGTACACAACATTATTGATAACAGGTACTCATGTTGATTTTGTAGCTCTAGTTCACTCCTTTCAATACTGTATTATACTGTGTGAATATACCAAAATTTATCTATTCATTCTCGTCACAGACACACTTGGTTGTTTCCACTGTTTCACTGTTAATAGGCAATGTTACAAATCTCTTATCATCAAGTATTAAGAGTTTTTCTGGGGGCCGCCTGGCTGGCTCAGTCGGTTCATCGACTAACTCTTGATTTCCACTCAGGTCCTGATCTCAGGGTCACAGGATGGAGCCTGTGTCAGGCTCCATGCTCAGCGGGGAGTCTGCTCAGGATTCTCACTCTCCTGCTCTTTCTGCCCCTCCCCATCACACTCACTCGCTTCCACTCTCCCACCCTCTCAAATGAATAAATAAATCTTTTTTTTTAAGAGTTTTTCTGGGATTTAACTACAAATAAAAGTACTGGATCATAGAGTATGCATATCTTCAACTCTACCAGAACACTGCAAATTGCCCACTAAAGTGGCCAGATCAATTTACCCATCAGTATAAAGGCATAAAAAATGAGAAGTTTAATTTTTCTTGTTAAAAATAAGGGAAGAATGGGGCACCTGGCTGACTCAGTGGAACATGAGGCTCTGGATCTCAGGGTTGTAAGTTTGAGCTCCACGTTGAGCATGAAGCCTACGTAATAAAATAAAATAAAATAAAATAAGAAAGAAAGGAAGAGAAACCCCCCACATTTTTCTTCGAGCACGTTCTTTAGAAAACTTGTAATTGTAAATTCTTTCTCTATCCCTTTGAAATATATGTAAATCTTTTTAAAAGCTAAATAAGCTTCTAGGGACCCCAGCTGGCTCAGTAGATCAGGCGACTCTGAGTTCAAGCCCCATGCTGGGTGTACAGCTCACTTTAACTACAGCTTATTTTAAATAATAAATAAGTAAGTCAGTAAGCAAGCAAGCTTCTAACCAGCAACCCAGGACTCTTTGAAATGTGATTTGCACCAAAGGAAATAGCACTTTCTGTTTTTTGCTATCTTTCTGCCAGTTTTGTGGGAAGACAGGAACCTAATAGCCTAGCTGGCCACCTAGCTCCCAGTTGCAAAATTACCTTCCTATCATAAGAATACAAGTTTATTTTTAGCCAGTTACAAATACATATGGTCACCCCAATTACCAACTGATTTTGAATGAACTGTATGTGAGAAATGTTGCTATCAAGCCCTCTGACTTGAGCACTACTTACAATTTATCTTGAGAACATGTATGTAATGGGTTGTATCTGGCCATATAAAGGGTGAGCTCTCTTTAGATCTCTGAAATATCTTAGCAGATTGACTGTGATGTGCTTCACATTGTGGCTCAATGCTTATTTTCATTCTCTTCTGCCTCTGGAGAGGTTTTTCTGAAATGGAGGTTTGGGCTTTAAATTATATTTCTCCAACATCGGCAATGGGTAAAAATTCCCATTTCCCCTCATCTTTACCAATATTCGATACTGTTAGAATTTTTAATTCTTTGGCAATATGATAGGTATGAAATAGTATACCTTTATTTCTTCTAATTTGTTTTTCCCTGATATCCATTGAGATTAAACATCTACTGACTTGGATATCCCTCTGCATATATTTAGGACTATAAACAGAAACAAGTCAAGTTTATAATGAACAGTCCACCTATAAAATGCCAAAGTACAAAAAAGTTCCGATTTTAGCAATGTAGTTTATTTTAAAAACTTTAAGAACAATTCCAAAAAATATACATTACGTAGACTCATTAGTAACTCAAGGAAAAATAGTTCAGATTTTCAATGTAAATTTTTAGCTGCCGAATAAACTTTGTATTAAAATAAGTATTGCTCTAAATATTTCCAAGGAAGTTGACAAAACAAACTGAATAATGGGTAAAAGCAAAGAATATATTATCTCCCAATTTAGCCACTCTACTGCCACCAAATTCACTGATTTTTAAGCACTAAATCAAGGTCTTTTAGCAGTCCTTCTATGAAAAGGACAAATTTCCTCAAAAGGATCCTAAAGTAAAAGCTAAACTCCAAGTTTCTTAATTATCTTTGAATAAGACAACTGAGCATATATGTTTATTATGGTTGCATAACTGTTGATCTATAAAGTATCAAGTAAAAAATGAATTTGAGTTCTTCCAGAGAGGCTGATACTTAGCAAAATGGTATCTTTAACACATGAAGATGACGAACAAAATATGCTTTGTGTTTCAAATACCACTGGATTTGAAGGCACACTGATGAGTGGAAAAATCGAAGTATTGTTAAATCCTAGCAAAACTAATAGCTGTGTGATCTTGCCCTGAGAGGGATAAATGGACATTTACTTCTTTGGAAAAGATACTAAAAGTAGGTTCCCAAAGGATCAATACTCAGTTATTTCCTTAGGAAACAAACAATAAATAATGGGCTATATTGACTGTAATGGAACTTAATAACACTTCTGTATCTATCCTACTTGAGTTAAACAATTTTACAAGGAAGTTTACTCTCACGGTGACAAAACTATAGCGATATTAAACATATACACACATACACACCCCTCTTCAGTCCTGCTTTTCCTATGCAACTTTTTTTTTAAGATTTTGTTTATTTTATTTGTCAGAGAGAGAGTGCACACAAGCAGGGGGAGCAGCAGAGGGAGAAGCAGGCTCCCCGATGAGCAGGGAGCCCGACAAGGGGCTCGACAAGGGGCTCAATCCCAGGAACCTGGGATCATGACCTGAGCTGAAGGCAGATGCTTAAGACTGAGCCACCCAGGCACCCCTCCTATGCAACTTCTTAACAGAACCATTCTAAGATATATAATGAAGTAAGCCAAAATGGTTTTCTACACTTTTCTGTATGGTCTGCTGTTCCTATTCTTCTTTGCAAACAAAAAATTTTAGTGGTCTGCTCACTCTGAACAAAAGTCATGTGTTCTGAAGTGCCTGGGTGGCTTCTCCTTCTCCCTCTTGTGCTCCCCCTGCCTGGGCTCTCCTGCTCTCTCTCTCTGTCAAATAAATAAAAATCTTTTAAAAAAAAAGTCATGTGTTCTATAAGCTCTTCTCTTCTTCTGTTAAATAAATTAGCACATCATGGGCTTAACTATGACCAATAATGTTTCAATGTCGCAAATAACATTTGCTTTCATTTATTAATTGAATAAATATTTACGTAACATCTATTTATGTGCCAAGAAGTGGAATGAATGCTATAGTTATAGCAATAAAAAAGACAGATGCAATACCTGCCTTCATGGAGCTTCTAACTGTCAGTGTCCCAAATACAAAGAATGGCTGAAAGATAAAAATTTCAGACACCAGGACAAGCTAAAAAAGAGACATTTTTGGTTAGAAGAGCCTTCTAGTGTTGCTCAAAGTATCCCAAATATATAAAGAATGGACCAACAGCCATAATTTTTTTACCATTCTTTTTTAAGTGGTACCTGATTATTAACACAGTAAACTTAATTCCATGGGATTTGTTAAGGCAAAGTAACAAGAGACAAAGTAGAAGCAAAAAATACAAATCCAAACAAAAGCACACTGTCAGTACCTAGTATTTTGTTGGCAATCATTCTGTGAAACCTGTTCAAACTAAAAAAATTAACCTGTAGTCAAAAATAGTAAGATAGGGGCGCCTGGGTGGCTCAGTTGGTTAAGTATCTACCTTCGGCTCAGGTCATGATCCCAGGGTCCTGGGATTGAGCCCCCTATCAGAGCCTGCTTCTCCCTATCCCTCCACTGCTCCCCCTGCTTGTGCTCTCTTTCTCTCTCTAATAATTAAATAAATCTTTTTTAAAAAATAAAAAATAAATACGCTAGACTTTTTACAACAGTGGCTGTGGATCTCTGAATTTCACAAGCCAATAAAATTTCAAAAAAAATGGGGGGAACCAAAACAGGGGTGCCACTTTTTTTATTT